TTTCTCCTTTGAACATTTCTTTGGAGTATTGGGACAACCATGTGGGCTCCAGTATCAGATGGAAAATCACATTCCTGACTCACATCCTGATCAATGGAGTTGTAGATCCATTCTTTACAGCCTGGCATCATGTCATGTTCATCACCATGTATTTTGATGCACTCTAAATCGGGTTTAAAAAGGCTACTTTTGTGTCATTCCATACGAAAAACAAAATCTGTGCATTTATGCAGAAATTATAAAGAAAAAAAATCTTTAGTTACATATATTACTGGGTTGGCTTTATATTGCTGAAACATTAAAATGTTATATGTCAATAAATAAATAAAAATGATGCACAGCAACGCAGCAGTCTGACTTAAAACACATGAATGGAAACAACATACATAACATTAAACTTTGACACCACATTTCTTATCTATGGCTTATTCAATTCATAAGACATCTTAATATTCAGCAGTCCGCACCCATCAGTTTGGAAAGTGAACACAATATGGCACATTGTTCAGATATGTAAACATGACGCGTGTTGCTCTAAGGAGGGTAAAGATTGTTAGGTTTGTGTTGATGTGGGAAGCCTACGTAAAGCCACAGTGACTCACCTCACTCAGTCCAGGATATGCATCCTGTGGTGCATCTTTACTAAACTATTCTCTGTCTTACTAACAAGAGTACTGTGTTATGTCACTAAATACCTACATTAGTCCAAGATCAATGGAGTTTACATATCATTAATTAACTGTATAAACAGAACATTTCAATTTGTTTTGTAATGTGTTAATAAATTCAGAAGTTGAATTCCGTCCACAGCTTGTTATAAGGTTTGGGTTGTACTTCCAGCTATGCATTTACAAGAACATTTTTTTATAATGAATAATTTTTTAATTTACTGTAATTCCTCTTTCTAGAAGATCAGACAGGTGTGTTAATGAAGTGAAACCACTACTAAACTGTGAACAGTCAGTAAATAGTTGGACAATTGGCTCTGCTGCCACTACTCACATCAAGTGAGATGACACACTCCAGCTGAACAGTAGTGACACAGGAGCAAGTGACTTGAGCTTCAGGTGGGCCTGCATCTGTCCTGTGGCAGGTCGTGGTGGTCAGCACCAAATGCACTCAGTGGCCTGTTACTTGGTACAGCTGTGCAATCCAGTCTCCACAAAATTGCATTCCTATCCTACTAAATTGCATTCCCATATACGTTTTGAAGGTAACTTCATTTCATTTTGAAATAAACAGAATTTGCAGCCTGTGGCATAGTGAAAAAGGTGGCCACTTTGAAAAAGTGACAAAGTTCACATTGTGATGCAGGAGGGGAGGTTGGTGACATAAACCAGTGACTGGGCTTTGACCCAGAAGACCAGAGTTTGTGTCCCGTGCTGGATGAAAGGCAATCTGTCTGAGTATTACATTTTACTTTCTGTTGTTCTTTACTTTCAATTTTCATTTACTTTCTGGCTCAATTCAGGCACAAAAACTATGGGGACAGGTTTAGGAAAATATCATAGAATACCCAACATAACTTGGTCAGGGTCAGGAAAATGCCACGGCTTGGGTTAAAATACAACCTTTCTGAAAAGGTTGAAACCTCCCCTGCAAATAAGGGGGGAAACAAGGGGGCAACCCCGGCCCCAATTAAAAAAACAATGGGTGGCCCAAAAAAACCAAAACAAAACAAAAAAAAAAAAGGCAAAAAAAAAACGAATAAAAAAGGAATTGGAAAGGGGTAAAAAAAAAAGGAAACCCGCAAAAAAAAAGGTTCCCCCCAAAAACAACTGAAAAAGCAAGTTAAATGTATAGGAATATAAATTATTGGATACTGGGTTGAGCTGTGAGGCTTAGTGTTAGTAAATTATCTAGAACTACCAGTGCAGTAATAATATAATCAAAAGAAGTTTACTTCTTAAAATTTTGAAATAATGTCAGTATATGCAAGCAATACAATATTACAAACAGTTGCAAACCTTGAAACATTTCATCTAAACCATTTTAAGGCTTCATCACTTGGGTCTCCATTTTCCAGGACAATACTACAAACTGTACTCACAGTGTATATTCAGATCTCTTCAATCTGTTTACACTTGGAAATAGCTTAAACTAATTCCTAAGTCAGTTGACAAAACATCAACTTTTTAGCTAAAAAGTTTATAATTTTCTTACTTGACTTCTACTTTTTTTTTTTTTTGCTAGAAGCAACTAACCTAAAAATCCTCAAAATAAACAAATAAATAAATACATAAAAAAAAAGAAAACACTTGTATTCCGAAAGAGATCGATGATTGCTGTGCACAGCTGACATGTAATCAGAGCAGCACCAAACTGTGACACGCATACAATGAAAGGTTAGTGGACTGATTCAGTGTTGCTCTTTTTGGGATGTGTCGCTATAAAAACTATAGAGTTGTACAAGCCGGGTGATCATTTTAAAAGGATGAATCAGTGGATGTAGAATGTTTTTTCACTCGTTCTTCAGCAAAAGTCTGGTCCTACTTGTTGAACTTATCAACTTTTACAATGACACTTTATATGTTGTTTAAGACTTTTCAGAATCTGAGTCATGAGAGTCTGACCTTTTATGCAGCACAGTGTCAGACATGTACCTTATTTTGATGCTCAGGTTTTTGGTTAGTCTGAAATGTCTTTATCACATTGGCTAACATTTTAGCTCCACAAACATGCCAGCCATGTTATGTCTCTCATTGCAGAACTGAAGTTGTTCAAACCAGCTGAACACTTCACATGACATGGCTTGGCATTCATTTTTGTTCAGCGGAACTTGCACAAAAACAAGCATTTGCACAGCCTGACTTCCAAAAAATGAAGACAGGATGAAATCATCAGCTCTAACATATATGTTCATTTTATTGGAAAATTTAAACTCAGGATGCAGGAAAGTTTGCAGGACAGCTTATTCACTCACAGCTATCTGACGTTCTCATGGCAGCAGTTAAATATATCTGAGGCATAGTGATTTACTGTATAAGGAGAAGATTCTGAGAAAAAGAAGTCCAGCTTGTTCAGCAGGTATTGAATTTAAATAAAAGCTGGTGAAATACAGAAATAAATTCCCATGCTTTGAAAACCTACTTGTGATTCATCACTTTGGTCTCTCATTGACATCCATTTGTTTGAATGTTAAATTAAGTAAACATCCTTGTTTAGCAGCTGTCCCATTGATACCTGGTCTCTCCACCTATTTGTCTGTGAAAGCTATTATTTGGGGATGTGTGCTGCATTGTAGTGATTTGCCAAAAGGTACTGTGTCAGACTGGGAATATTTTTGTGTAACTCTTTGTGAAGCTGCATTTATGTTTCAGGCACTGTCTTTGACTTTGATGTCATCATAGCTCCGTCCTTTTCATTCTGTGAGACCTTTATCTCACAAGTCCTTGGTAAATACTCAGAGTAAGGAAGTAAACTGGAAGCAGGATGTGGCTGCAGCCTGCATGTACAGAGGTGACAGGCTTTAACACAGCTGTTTGATTGATGGGTCCTAACTGAGGAGTGTTACCACCAGTCAAGGTGAAAACAACCTGACACACAGTTTTATATTTGACTAACAACCACACTCTGACACAATCACTCTGTCTTCATAAAGCCCATACGCAAACACATTCACAGTTTCCCAGCAGTACGGAGGACACCGAGAAAAGGTCTCCAAACTAATCACAGAGTTGAACTAACATCTATCGATACAAATTGTAAACTATAATCCTGACAGACATGTTTTGTTTTTTAAAAAAATCTATTTTAGTGCAGGGGCTGCAAGGTGGCGCAGTGGTTAGCACTGTTGCCTCGCAGCAATAAGGTTGCCGGTTCGCATCTTTCTGTGTGGAGTTTGCATGTTCTCCCCGTGCAGCGTGGGTTCTCTCCAGGTTCTCTGGCTTCCTCCCACAGTCCAAAAACATGTTGAGGTTAACTGGTGATTCTAAATTGTCCGTAGGTGTGAATGTGAGTGTGCTTGGTTGTCTGTCTCTAAGTGTAGCCCTGTGATAGACAGGCAACCTGTCCAGGGTGTCCACTACCTTCACCCTAAGTCAGCTGAGACAGGCTCCAGCCCCCGCAACCCTAGTGAGGATTAGGCGGTGTATAGATAATGGATGGATGGATGGATGTTTTACTGCAGATGATATAGCATGAAAAGTCAAGCGAAGTCCAGTTAGTATTGTAATTTGTCCAAGGTTGAATTACAATTCAAGGACATATTATAAGATTTCCAGATGGAAAAAGTCATACTTCACACACAAAGTGTATATCTACAGTTTAAACTGTACTTTTAGCCAGTGTGTTTTTTCCCACATCTATGTATAATCTACATGTATATGAGTTCAAAATCCACTTGCAGTTGACACTCTTACTAACTTGAAAGAAATCCAATAATTCACATGTAACCAGCATAACTAACACAACCTTGTAGCTTGTGCTTAGTGAGATCACCACTAGTTTTCAGTGGGGCAACAGCTTGAATCACACTTCCAGGCTATGCAAGAGCTATGTTGGCCAAGAAGGAGAATGACAGAAGCTGCATTAAATGACCTGGTCACAACAATCACATGACCTCAACCCAAGGGAGATGACCTGAGATGAGCTGCAAAGAAAAAAGTAAGAAAAATAAGTAACTAGTATTTAGTGTATGTGGAAACTCACTGTTGGAAAAGCATTCTGGGTGACTATCTCATGAAGCTAACTAAGTGAAGAGTTTCCAAAGCTGTCATTTAAGTAAAAGGTGGTTACTTTGAAAAATCCTACATCATATTTTTCTTTGTTAACACTTGTTTTTGCTTACTTCCTAATTCTGCATGTGTTATTTTATAGTTTTTATGTCTTCAGTGTGACACAACGGGAAAAATAAAGTAAAAACTTTTGACAGGTACTTTTACAATGTATTAAAACTTACAGTTGCTGGAAGAGGTTTAATTTTATTTGCCTCTAAAGGAAAAGGGTTGTGATTGGTCAGATTTGGATAGATACACTCATGCATGCTATACATACAGGACAGGACAAAAACAGACAGTTTGCTCTTTAATATGGTGATCTTTATGAGTCTTATCAAGCTGAAATTAAGTATTAATACAAATAAATAGAGAAATATGTAAGCAGATGGAAAAACATCGATTCATTATAGCAGTTGATTTATGGTCCTATAAATTCATGCTCTTTATGTGACCAGTAGCTATGATAGTTCTGTTTTTTTCTTTATCTCCTGCGTCGATGTGACTTGCTGCTGGAGGGGGTAGTCGTTGCACTGTTGCCAGGCGCAGAGCACTCTGTTTTGAGACAGCTGCAAGCATCAATGTGGGTGTAAGTGTAGGTGATCTCAGTGTTGTCAGGGCAGGAGAGCTGGATCTGTCGCTGAGAAGTAGCCACCTCCTGGCAGCAGGTGCAGGTGTGCTGCAAAGATTTAATTTTCGTAGAGTACCTGGGAGAAGAGAAAAAGGTGTGGAAGAAAGAAAGTCAGGTAAATTTGAAAAAAAATGTAATTCAGCTCACAAAAATAGAAATGTCAAACTAGAAAGCTATTAAGTTTAGAAAGCTCATCAGTAAGAGTTTGTGATTAAAGCTTTTAAGTCATATTTATCTCGCAACTCAGCAAAACATGTTGCAATCAATAATTTCTATTTAAATCTTTTAAAGGGGTACTCAAACATTTTTTGTACACAAACAATCAAATCATTGCTCATTTTCAGTATGATAGAGCCAGTGAAAACACTTGTGTAATGTATTCTGTGGCTCTGGGGGAACTTTGTAAAGCCTGAGAAAAATAAGTCAGATGATTCAATCAGAGCTGACAAATGGCTGAGTCTAAAATCATTCTCAATTTGCTAAATAGTGCACTACATTGTTTTAAAGTGTCTGAATTCTGAATATGTAAGGTTACTGATTGTACAAGGTTCTCAGCAGTTACAGAATGGAACAAAGAGCTTTGTTATAAACACTTCTTCTTTCCAACAATGTCATGGAATGACTGTCGAATAACTGGTAAACAGCTGTGATGATGCAAAATGCAGATGATTAGTAAATGTCCAAAATCTCAATGTTGTGTTCACTACTGAGTAAACATTATCTAGAAGGATGGAAATTAGTAAAAAGGGACATGATTTCAGGCAGCAGTTGTGGAAACTATTAATTCCAAGCAATAGTTTGTGTTTGTGAAATAACAAATATGATGTTATTCAACAGATTCGGAAAGTCAGATACATAGAAAATATGGAGTTGCATTATGGGAAGCGTAGGATTGAGCATTTCTAAAACTCTTCAATGTCTCAGACTAAACTAACTAAACTTTTTTTTAAACTAAACGTTATTATATGTCATGCACAGATTTTGACAATTCTTTTTTTTTAGTTTTCCAGTAAAGTTCCCTAACTCCAACAGTGACACACACTTGGTACTGATGATAAGGAAAGAGGAGACTCACACAGTGAGGGTACCACATGCTCCACTACAAGATGTGATGTTAACTAGCTCTTTGGACTGGCAGCCTTGGCTTTCCACATGTACGGCAGTTGTGGACACATTGCAGGAGTGATCCTTTGGAATACCTAAGGCACACAGGAGAAATATGTGAAAAGAAACATCTCATTTGACCTCATGCACTGATCATCAAATCTGTGATGCAAGCACAACTGTATTTTCTTTGGTTCTGGTTTTCTTAGGGACAAACCACTATGGAACTGGAAATACAATTGAATCACGTGTTGTTGTTTTTTTGCATTGTATTTGTTTGAGAAGTAAATCAAATGTAACTCCAACTTAACTAAACAGAAGAACTAATCAAATCGCTGTGTTTGTGTAAGTAGGAAAAATGTGTAGAATTTATACATACAGACAGGACAGCATCCGTCTGGACCGATGGTCTCCGTTCCCTTCAGGAGACAAAACATTCATATTAGTATTCACACGGTTCTGGCTTTTCTTTGTAGAGATACCCATTAAAAAAGTGGCAGTGTGCTCACACTGGTGAATTCCTGTGACTTTACTTCTTGTCCCAGAAACATGAACATTTCACCACCAATTCATGTTTTATATTGTAATCCCCCAAAAAATCAACTTTCATATTAACTTACCAGCAAGATTGTTGAGGGATAGTTAATTCCACTGCTACCATGTATGTGAGCTACACTACTACAAAGACTAAATAAAAACTAAAGACTGGTGCACAGGTAGAATAAGGACAATCTTCTCAAAACAGGTTTGCCAATATGAAATAGAGAAGCGTAATATCTAACTGTACAATAAATTGCATTTGGTTTGCTGTTCAGTATTAGGTAAATAGTTTATTATCTTTAAGTTAAACTAGGTCTCATGGAACAGGGAAAATAACACTGATTTTGTTGTACTGTGCCTTCCTGTCCTCTGGTTTCTTGCTGTCTCAATGATGGTGGCCTGGGTGTACTTGAGTGATGCCTACCGGTACGCAGTTATCGATGTTGTAGGGTGGGCATGTCGTCTTTGCCTCAATGGTGATGAACTGATTAGTGGTGTTCACACACTCATACTTCACACATTGGTTCTCATCAGGAGTCCAGAAGTTTCCAGGCTGAAGAACAATAACACAATTTTGGAACTCAGTGTCAGAATCACTGTTCTCTTCCAACCATCATATGTGGACTGTTCTTTGTTAATGTTTATAGCCTTTGACTCTAAGCCATTTTGCCTCCATGTTACCATGCCTGATATAACTTTCTATGTGTTAGCATCATCAAATGTATGATGAATTTAGTCATGTCTTGTTTGTCTTGTCATGGAAAGCTGACTTGAAGAAACTTAAAAGAAAATAGCAAAGGTTTTGTAATTTGTCAACTCGACGATGAAACCATTTTCCAGAGCTGAAATTTTAAAATTACATTTGCCACTATATCAGGCAGCCCTTTGTTGATTATGATTCATCACAGAATTAAAATATACATGCATTACATTTTTCTAAGAGACACATTTCCTCACGTTAACAGGGTGATTTGAAAAGCCTCTACTGCCTTACAATTTACATTTTAAAACAATACAAGCTACTATTATATTCAATTTTAATTTATACACAAGGCCTACAATGCACACACACATATACCAACCTTTAATGTCTGTGTTAAGTTGTTTGACAGCGTAATAATGCAGCTTGTCTGGATACACTTCCCGCAGCACTGGCCAGAGACGTTTTGGTACTCAAAACCCTAAATTGAAGTGCATACACAACATACCAATAAAAGCCTGCACATGATCAGGTCTAGATGATGCTGTTTGATGTCAGCATTTACAATGGTTAGTTGAGATTTGCATTTTTTGTGGCTTGCACTGACTATAACAAACAGGTATTTCAAGAGGACTTATTGCACAACTATAAACCCTATCAAAAAAAAAACCTTTTAAATTTTAAAAGTAGAAATTGTGTCTGCCTTCCAAGGGCCAAACTAGGAGCTGGAGTGTTATGTTGTATGAGATCATATGTATTCTTTGTCTGTTCTTCATCTGCTATCCTGCTATCCCCACCCAAGCACTCATCTTCCTCATCCTGTCATTCATTCAAAATGGTTGAGGCAGATGACCACTGTCCCGTCTCCTGGTCAACAATTACTCTAAGGTAGAACAGGAGTCCAAGGCAATGTCATCCAGAGTAACTATGTGGTTAGTTAATATGTTATTGTTTCTAAACATTCACCTCCTTTAAAGTAACTCACCTAATTTAACAAAGGTTCAGCCAATTGATGCAGGAACTCACAGTTAGTAAAATGGAGATGATCTGAGTGCAGTGCATGTGTTGCTCGTGATGACAGTATAAAGACATAGATGAGCATGAGGTCACAGTGACACACTCACAGAAATCTAACTTTTTGTGTTTTTCATGTATTTTGATCTAATTTCTGAAAGCAAATAACTGAAAATACAATGAAGCAGAATAGAAACAGCATAGAGGAAACTCTTAAAGTTCAGTGACTACAAGCAGTAATGGCAACTATAAAAATTACAATGACACCAATGGTACTTATCATTAAAATAAATAAAACAGCAATGAATACTTTGAAGACAATGGTCAAGGAATGTGCTTTTCAGTAAAGGCATAACTGTGAATATGAGCAAAGCAGGAGGGAGGTGAAAAAAAGACGGTCTTACCAGAGGACAGTTTGTGTCACATGGTATAGGCTGACATTCTACTTTGTGCAGGTGGCTGCTGGCATCTGTCTGGTCACTACAACTGCACTTGTTACATGGTGTCATGGGCACCACATCTCCAACCTGAATGTACAGGGTGAGAAGGTCAGCACCAAAAAAAAGTCCTGAACCGATTCTAAATAACCTCGGGTGTGCTCCAAGGAGTACCTCTCAATATCATGCTGTCCACTGTAAACTACAACCTCATCAATGACCATAAAAGCTGACAGCATCAGTCAAAAAACTAGAGAGAACTTACGACTGGGTTGTTTTTGTTGAATGCCATTAACTTTACATGTGTACAAGTGACCACTGATGGATATTTTCATAGTGAACATAGGCTTATGTGGAAAAAGGATGAAAACATGTAAGGGCCAGTTCTGTGTGACAGTCTCAGTCTCCAAGTTCCTCCAATTACCAACTTCAAAAATATTATATGGCTAATAGAGTATATGAGATTTAAAAGAAAACTGAAAAAGAGAAGGCAGTTAAATAGACTTAGCACAACAGACCATTGACACCAGTTATCGTCCCACACACATCTTTGAGCTTTTGGTTGTTGAAAAATACCAATACTAACCTGTATGTTGAAAAAGCCATTAAACATTTTTTTTTTTTAATGTTTTATTTTGATCTATTCACATTAGTTTCACATGAGGATTGTATACGTATGTGAGCTCTTACCTGATATTCTTGGTTGTTAAATACACACACGTCACTTTTTGGAACTGTCAAGGAAACAGACCAGTTAATGTAAGCATGGCAAATGTTTTACAACAGTCACAGTGGTAAATTTTACCCTGACTATGCAACTAAATAACATGCACACACAAGCACACTCACCACAGAAGTGTTTGGCACAGCAGACTCCCATTGTGGTGTTCATGGTATAACCAGCAGGACAGCATGGCACAGAACCAGAACACTGCCTCAAGTCGCACTCTGTTTAAAGATACAATGAAGAGAATGAAGAGAGGATGTTCGTTACAGCAAGACCTCTTTCACTGAGAAAGAACACATAAAATGTTAAAAAGGGCCTGCTACATTGTTGTACCGTGGCCCCTGACCCTAACCTTCTGTTTCTGTAATAGCCTTCATTTCCCTCCATACTTTAGCCACAAAACGTTCAGTTCATCCACACGAGAACATCGAGGAACTAACATTCTTTTTCCCCATGGCATGCTACAGGTGCTCATTATGCTTATTATCCTGTTGAAAGGTCCCCTTGTGTCACTTGAAAAACTTTCTTCTGGTTGCATCCAAAATTTCATTGTACTCTTTAAGTTTAATGATTCCATCAATAACTACAAGTTCTATACAACTACACCACTGTGAACACCTTGATGCTTTAAAGTAGTATTGGTGTAGTCTGGTTAGAGTTCTTTCCCTGTCTTTCTCCACACAAGCTGACTACTGTAAGATCTTTGAAGAATGAATCTGAACTCATTTTAAATGTGCATTGCTACTGATGCTCCACCAGTCTGTCTGTTTCATGCTCCATTATTCCATCCCATGTGAAAAAGGTTCCAAGGTACTTAAACACTTTCACTTCAGGCAGAAGCTTACACCCAACTAGGAGGGAGCAATCCGCCAGTTTCTGGCCATTTCCACAGACTTGGAGATGTTGTCTCACATAGTTGCTTCACACTTGACTGCGAATCACCTCATTGTCATGTCTCTGCAAAAGGCAGAGCCATGACCCTGAGCTCACCCTCCGTAGTTTTAACCATAGCCTTGATCTTGTTTTGACATATGGCATAGAAATCAAACATCTTGCTATTTTTCAACTAAACTGTTTTCTGTCTGATCATTTTTTAATAATGTTTGAATTTACAGTAATGCACTACGGAGCATCGACCAAAGAGATCCATTACAGCAGATGTCTATCTGATACTACAGTAACTAAATTTAGGGAAATTATTCCGTTATTATTTACTTCAATGCCATATGGCAACACAATGGGGAGCAGCTCCTCTAATCATAGTCCCACACAGGTGGATAATCTTGTTGATAACACTGCAGCTTTTCTGCATTCATCAATTGATATTGTTGCCCCTCTGAAAAAGAAGCCTATAAATTATAATAAAATAGTTCCATTCTTTAGTCCTCTTATTTAAAAAAAATGCAGATATGTCAAATATTTGATGTCTTTTTGGTTACTATTTGCAGATATACATAGTTCATGAACAGCTTAATTCTGGCCATTTGTGTTACTGACATTTTAACACTAAACAGCTGATAGCAGGGAAGACTTTTACAGTGGAGTGTTTATTTCATAACACAAATGTGTCCTGTTAAACTGTTGGGTGGAATGCCTACTGGGATAGGCTCAAGACTGTGAAAATGTATAGTCTACATACTGTCATAAATAAATACAAAATCAGTTTTTAAATACAGAGTATATTTAGTAGAAAATGTGTGTTCTTACCACACTTCTCTGTCTGACAGCAGCCAACAGTATCATTGACCTTGACCTGACCTTCTTGGTCACAGCTGAGGGGTGGCTGTGTTGGGCACGATACATGATGGCAGGAAACCTGCAGTGTGTCTTCCTCACATATACATTCCTCACAGTCTTCTATCCATGTTGCATTGGCCTAAGGACACAATATTTTATAGGAGCAAATAATTAACTTCAGCTTATGTAAAAGTGGAATGACATTGTCAATAAATGACTTACCTTCGTCCATTTTCCATTTGCCAGACGACAGATTTCTATTAGGAGAAAAACACGAAGCATTAAGGTATTTGCAATCATTAGAGCATTGGTTAGCTGAGTCTGACTTCAGTTGTAGCAACTGCTCTAATGGCATCAGTCTCAGTGTAGTCTCAGTAGTCTAGTGCCATGAAAAGCTAAATATGTTTTGTTTGGGAGATAAATCATGACAATAAAAGCAGAAATCTATGCAAGAAAGCAGCAAACCAAAAAAGAATGAGGATGACAGTGTTTTTCTAAACTGGCATCATTATTCTTCTTTAATTACTTCTACCATATGCCCCCATCAGCTATACTGAGTGGCAACATTATGGAAAACTGTTTGATTGACAAGGTGCAATGGAAAAGCTCAGAGTCTGCAATTCTAAAATAAAAAAGCAAAAGCCATACTTGATTTACATTTTGCTACGATCTATTTCAAATAGTCCCTTTGGGCAGTGACACATTGCTTCCAGCATTCCTGCTGTGCTGAGAACATATTCTGGAAGTCCTTTTCTGTAAGGACATCGAGCGCCTTTTGTGGCATGATCTTCCCTACTGTGTCAAAATGATGACTCTGTCATATCAATTTAATTATGGTGAAGAGGAAGAAATTGAAACCAACCAAATCAGGTGGGTAAGGCAGGTGGGGACTACTGTATTTGTGTGGCAAAAAAATTTGAGTAGGCATGTCAACATGATGGCAGGCTCAGTTGACAGTTCAAGTCATTTACACCAGATGCTCTCCATCAGCAGTCTGCAAGAGAACTGTGACCTGGCAGAAGATTTATTTTCCAGCAAGACAATACGACGAAACATACCACCAAAGCCACACAGAAATAGTTTAAAGACAACAAAATAAATGTTCTTGAGTGGCTGAGTCAAAGTCTAGACCTAAATCCAACTGAGAATTTGTGTCTGGACTTGAAATGGGTTGTTCACTTACAATCCCCATGTAACTTCACAGTTTTTACAGAGTATTTACAGTTTTGCGAAGAAAAACTGGATAAAACTGCAGTATACAAGTTTTGTGAATTCTTGTCAAAAAAGCTAAATAAATTGACAATGATTCAATGTTGAAAAGCAATGGAGGAGGAAAACTTCCAAGGGAGGTGAATACTTTTCATAGGCACCATATACCCTTAGGTCACTGTCAAATTGTCTTCGTGGCTAATGCCACTGCCTCTCAGCCTTCTGATTCTTAATTTGTTGTTCTGTTGTTTTCGCAACCTCATCTGAATTCCGCCTCTGCCTGCTCTCCTTTAAATCTTTTTCTAAGTAAGCTTGCGTATTGCTTTAATAATCTGCTTCTGGTGTTGTGCTAACTGGTCCTCAAGCTGAACTGGGATAATAGAATTTTAACTTGAACAGAAAAGGCCATTGTTAAATGCAGGGCATTCATAAATGCAGCTTAGGCTTTTCCATACAGTAGTGTTATCTGTTCTCACCACAGGTAGGCACACATTCATTTGAGCCAGAAGACAGTAGGAAAGTGCCATTTGGGCAGTAGCAACCCTCCATAGTCACATTTGTCATGGCACTGAACTCGTTTCTGGTATAGATGAATTTCTGATTGTACCTGCAGAAAAAAAAGCATGTAATGAGAAGAACACATCTTGTTGTATGTGTGTCAGAGTATGTAGAAGTTAATAAAAGCTGATTGACTTTGATGAGTCATAACCAAGTGTTGATGGATTGCTTTACCAGGAATCACAGGTGGGCTCCACCAGCGGCCCACAGGCCTGATACACTTTGGGGCTTGGACATGTATATTCTATTAAGAGATAAAGAGAAAATAAATATGTTTGTCACTCATTGTGTTTGTGGTGTTCTTGAGATGTGTTTTATTATGTTAATTGTTATGTTAATTATGAGTATGTAGTGCTTGACATAAACAGTGCAGATGCATACCACAGAGTCCACCGGTGGCTGACCTCCAGTCAATGCACACTCCAGCCTCAGCACAGGCATCCGCATATGTTTGTAAGCTGTTACAGCCAATGTGTGTAAGGTGCGTGTGGCACACATCAAACTCACAGGCCACAACAAATGGGTTGTAGTCAATGATTCCGTGACAACGTTTGAACACACTGGAGAAGATATAATTTATGGTAAGTATGAGCACTTTAATAAAATTGAATATATGGTTACACATTATCAAGCTGAGACAAGTGAATTAATCAACCATGTGTTGAATGTAACACACAGCTGGTGCCATGTAGAATGTAATTTGCCTCACAGGGCCATCTCTCTCTTCTAAATGTTACATTAGGTAATGATCTAAAACCTGGCTGCAGCAGAAAGCTCTATTCTCAGACATAATTTTTGTTGTTGTGTGTCCTCCTCCTCTGTCTATTACTTAAAGTTTTCATTTGCACTCCCAGACTTTTCATTCCCACTCTCATCCAAACTGGTCGAGGCAGATGGCTGCCTTCCCTGAGCCTGGTTCTGTTCAAGTTTTTTTTTTCTTTCCTCCTCATTAAAGGGAATTTTTTTTGGTTCCTTCCCACTGTCATCAACTGCTTGTTCATAGGGAATCCAAAAGCAACTTTGGATTGTTTGGTTCTTTGTTTAAAAATTCCTATGGTTTTCATCCTACTATGTGAAATATTATAACATGACATATCTTGTGAATTAGCACTATAAAAGCACTATAAAAGTAAAATTGAATATCATGCAGGTGAAAGAAAATTATCCTACACAAGTGCTTATGTGTGAACTAAAGAAAATATCCTGGTCAACAATAACTCCAAGTTTTTTTACAGTACAACTGGACGCAGTGGAATAGCCACCCAGAGTAACTATCTGATTAGAAAGTGTAAGAGAAGATGTTTGAGGCCAAATACAATAACTTCAGTTTTGTCTGAATTTGGAGAAGAAAATTATAGGTCATCAAGAGAACCTGGGAGTTTACCTAATTGATTAGTTTCATTCAACTTTATACGTCATTTGTCAGGATCCCTGCCCCTGCAGTTGTCTCTTCCCTACTTCTACTCACTCCCTTTTCCTCTTCTCTACCTATATCCCTCCTTGGTTGTTTGTAAACTAGTTCCTGTTTGTTCTGCCTCCAGTTCTCCAACCAGTCCCCTGCTCTGTCGCCTGCCTGCGTTTCTCGAGGTGCTCATAACGGTGACATATAAGTGACGTCTCCCTGCAGCCTGCCAACACCTGCCTCGAATGAGTATGAAATGTTGCCTGAAAGTCAGCTCATTAATAGTAGATGTTGACCAGCAGTCACTTCAGAGCTATTTCCCATGTTGCAGCTCTGCACTGCCAAAATACTGATTTTATAATTGCAACACTGTCTTTGAAACTCATCATGCATATAAGAGAACTTCCTTCCTGAAGACAGCGGTACCAGCACCAGTTTAGATGTATTTAAAGCTACAGACCTTTAAATTCCAAACATGGCTAGAAACAGGGGTTATACAATCATGGTATATATATGTGTGTGTATATATGGGGAAAAGATTTTTGGATTGTCCTAACATGAGTAGATCCATATTTTCTAACATAAAATTGACCAGTGTTTCAACAAGACTATGTATGTAATACAGTGTAACAGACTGTATTTAATCTCAGCTTTCTGTGCTGTTGTGACTTTTACATTATTCCTACGGTATTTAATTAGAATTTGAGCTGTGTGGAAGTGCTGATGAGGCACATATCTAAAAAGGCTTCAGTGAGAGAATAAAAAATTGTTGATCGGCCTATTTAATATTCTGATATTCTGCAGTTAAAAAATAGTCACATTGATTGTTTACAAAATACTATTACTGGTAAAATAAAAACAAGTGAAATACAAAAAACGTGTCTTTTTAGCGATAAAATATTCCATGTACGTTTGATAATTAATGTCATTGTTGACATATGTTCTGTTTTCCTCCTACCTGCTCTGAATGACCTCACAGACGGTTGCATTGCAGGTAGTGGGTGTAGGTGCTGCTGTTGCTGTTGTTGTTGTCGAGGGAGTTGGTGGCGGAGTTGGATTCACACACTTGCTGTTATTTGTGTGCCACTGGTGTGCCATATTAGGACATGAAGGATCAATTTGACCATCAGGCAATCTACAGTCATCTGTCCGGTTGTTGTCACATGTGCCTGGAAAAAAAAACGTCATCAGCCATGGCACGACTCAAGTAAGTTCTGCACTGTGAAAGCCATTTTAAGATTTAAGCATGTGAAACGCAAAGTGTTTCAGTTAGGTGCAATAGGTATTTACTGGCTTTAAATATGCTTATCGTTCATCAACTCGTGTCCAAAACCACATCCATACTATACATTTCTGCTGTAGAACTCACCACATTGCCCCTCAGTGTTGCCAGCAAATATTTCATAGGGCAAGTAGATACTGAACATAAGCCCTGAAAAGGTGATCTTGGCCTGGATTTCTGGGATGACGAGCACTGTATTGATACCAGTGGTAATCACTCGGAAGTCACCATTCTGGTATGCAGGACTTACAGGCCTGTTGTTCACAGTAATCTACAACAGAAGCATGTCATAAATGTCAGAAAAAACCCAGACTTTTTTATTTATTTTTTTTAAAGATTCAGTATAGCTACAGTAATGGTATTTTTTTTTTAGATAGTTTTGCAAATTAGATTAGGTCAGACATATAATACGTCCAACTCAATGGCTGCAAATGCACTGAAAGGATTAGCTGCAAGAATAATGTCTAGAATATGGCAACATTTGAGTATATTGAAAACTTACGAGGTTTGTAAAAATCCCATTGAAGTCCTTCTGTGTAATAAAGATCTTGTAGCTATTGTAGAAGACGGTAATTGACTGAGGACAGGACAGTCCATCAGCTGCACCACAGTAGTAGTTATCGATCATAACGCTGAAGTTATACGTGGGCAAGATCTCTTTCACCAACCAGTAGGAACAGTTTCCTTGAAATCCATAGTAGGTTCCATCGAAAGTGACATAATGTGGGTCTCCCCAACCATAGCAGATACCTTCATATGAAACAAATATATCTTTAGAATAACATTTCAAGTAGAATCACCGACAGATTTTTTTTTCCTTACAGATAATGTAGATAAAATATGTATAGTCTATATAATTGATGTAAGTAAACTTAGACATCAAGACATGACATTACTTCATTTAAAATGCTTTTACACATTTAACTTAAGGGTTTTGTGAGATAGCAAAGTTTTAGTTGGTTAAACTTACATTGGCACTCATAGTGGGAGCAACATTGATCAGCATCTTTCACTTCAATGGCAGGGAAGTTATTTGCACACACTACAGGCTCCAAAGCTGGACAATATGTGTTGTTATAGGTTACGCTGCCATTGTTACATGTTGCTATACTGCAGTTACTTGCCTTCCAAATTTCACCATCCTGCAAAAGGAATCATAGTTCAGAATTAAAGAAAAAAAGAGAATGTCATAAATTGCCAAATCAATTTGCCTTGCAAAATTCATAACAAATACATTATGGAATTTCAAAGGCTGAGCAATTTTCTTAAAAAAAAAATGTAAATAAAAATGAAAGTTAAATATGTATGGAATGGAAATATAGAAGTACCTGTCTTGGAGGATGTACATCAACACACGCCTTTATATTACACTTGTAATGTCCAGGCACTACATGGCAGGACTCATTGCAGTACCCTGTGTAGCAGTAGCCATCATTGTCTGTCTCATTGTAAACTATAGAGCCTGAAAATGAGACACAGTAAGTGTTGAAAAGTGGCTGATCAGATTCAGTATGTACATATGTACAGCACATGGACATCTACAGTCTACATGTATTTATGTGCATGTAGTCTACATGTATCTTTGTGATGTACAATACTACATCACATACATACATGTATTCTTGCAATTTGTTACACCAATCAGTTTGTGTTTGCAACACATGTAGAGTGTAGATATCAAAGTTAGTCTGACAGTTGAAGCAGCAGCAGCACACTAACTCTACAGCTCCTCTTACTGGGTGGTAAATTAGCTAATTTACTGTCTTGGTCTAATCAGATTAATCACCTTGTTTCCAAGTTAGGAAAGAGCATTACAAGTTTATGGACAATCATGGATGCTCCACTTTTTTGCTTTACAAAGTGCTTCTAAGTTACTCATTCACACTTGTAATTTGGATAATATAATTTTATTTCCCAAGATGGACATGATTGAATCATGTACTTTTTGCATGATATTCAACAACTTAAAATGTATTAGATTAATTTATATTGAGATAAAGTGAGTCAGTTTACATACAGTCTATGTATGTAACTACAAAAAACAAGAAGCTAGAAGATAAGATTTTTGACAACACCATTGGCTGGTATTTAAAAAAAAAAAAAGAAGAAGAAGAAAGGTAAGTAAAAATCTATTTTCATTCTTCCTAATGCATTGTTATGTTTTTGAATTTGATTAATCTGTGTATGTGTCAAGAAATATTTTTGATATTGCACGTAATTACAGCATCTATTGAAAACGGAGGGGTAGCAAGTAACTTAGCCTGTAAATTCACAGATCTACTAGTTTTTCATTAACTGGTGACTGTGGGCTGAAAGCGTCAGTGGTTACTAGGTATGACTGCTGTTGGAAAACAGGAAGAGACCCTGTAGCTGTTTTTCTGTTTTGTTTGTGTATCACTGAATTTTCAAGGCAGACATACTTGATTCGTCTTTGGACTGTGAGTGAACAAGTCACATGCCAGAAATATTAAGTTTACATTTGTAATGTTGTCCATGAACAGGAGATTCTCAAAACAAACAAACAAAAAATCATTAAGTTGCTTAAATTTCTCTTTTCTAAATTACTATTATGATTTCAAAACATACACTTCAGCTCAACTTTGTTTTAGTCATATTTGAACAACACTGTATCCTCAAGCACTCTAATTTTCATCAGCAGTCTCATTTTTATTTTAATCTTAATCACAAGTTACCTTTGCAGTTACAGATAATTTCAAGTTTATCCTCAACCCTCATCAATTTGTGATCACCATGCCTGTGCACTTCAGACATGTGGTTTCAGCACAAATAAGAGACCATGAAAAAATAGCAATACTATAAATAAATGTGCAAAAAGTTATATGATTAGACTGGCAAAATTCTTTAATGTGTTTTAATAAATGGTGAAGCCATCTGAAATAATTTTCATTTTGGCCTGTTCGGTATGAAGAAATCAAATTTAACTTGTCTTCTGCTGTTTGCTGAAGTCTTTGTGACTGCTTTTCTGGTCTCATTATACATTATAAAACACATTAAATTAAGTACATTATTATTTCTTGATTAATATGTCAAATAATACTTATTTAATTGCATTCCTGAACAGAAAAAAAAAATGTTTTAGTGGCTGAATGTAATACTTGATTAATTTGTGACTTCTCAGAGAAGCAAAGTGGGCCGGTTAAAATTTGGGTATAAGAAGGTGAGTTCAGTTTGAAATTTCTCATTCCTGTTCAAAATGGTAAAACGTGGAGAGCTCACTGAAAGTAAAAGAGTCCGCATTAAACACTTCATGGTGCTGGATGGTCTCTGAGACAAATAAGGAAGTGTTCTCACAGTCTGTGTCTAATTAACTTCACAGATGGACAGCAACATTCAAACAGGGACATATTTTTTTCTGTTGTTGAGACTTACACTAACTGTCCTAGCTATAGCTATAGCTATAAGCTACACTTCCCTTCACTGTGTGGACACTTATGCTGACTTTGTGGCAATGTCTATTGTTTTGAAATTAGATAACCACGTTCACATATGAATGCAATGTTTAATTGTCCTGATACTTATGTATGCGTATGTTATGTATCGTGGTATTTACAACTTGTGTTCGGAAACTGAACACAGTACATTAATGGCCAACAGATCAAGCCAGTAACAGTGTTAAGTGGCTTCTTCTTTGTTTTACAAAACAACGGAGATAACCACATTACCTTAATGCATGACTGTAACTGTGATGTAGTGGTTACAAGTTAATCTGCCTGTTTCTCCTCTTAAAAAGACATGCCTAGTCTACAGTTGTGTTCAAAATAATAGTAGTCCAACATGACTGACCAGATCAGCCACTGTTTTTGGTAGAAATTATATTATCACATGACAAATAATTTATTGTCAATTTGCTTATATCAAAATACTTGAAGAGGTCATGCTGCCTTATGCTGAAGAGGAAATGCCCTTGAAATGGGTGTTTCAAAAAGACAATGACCCCAAACACACCAGTAAGTGAGCAGCAACTTGGTTCCAAACCAACAAAAATAAGGTTATGGAGTGGTTAGCCCAAGCCTCGGATGTTAATCCAAAAGAAAACTTGTGAGGTGACATCAAACATGCTGTGTCTGAGGCAAAACCAAGAAATGCAGAGGAACTATGGAAGGTTGTCAAATCATCCTGGGCTGGAATACGTGTTTACAGGTGCCAGAAATTGGTCAACTCTATGTGACACAGATGTCAAGAAGTTTCCAAAAACAGTGGTTATACAACTAAATATTAATTTAGGGACTCACAGGAATGCTAAATTGTAACACTTTTTTCAGTTCATTGAGTAAATATTCGAGTTTGAAATTAAAAATAAAGACACTGCCATTATCATTTTGTTCTTCATTTTCTGTAAAGTAATGAAAATATTGAAAATTTTTTCCTCGTTTTGATGTAAAATATAATGTGCAGTGTTCCCAATGAATGGAAATAAAAATATATAAGGATTTTTGAGCTTTACTCATGTTTTAAAAAACACTCCTATTACTTTGAACACAACTGTATATGCTGTGTGCCTTGAATCAGTAAGGCCTGAAGATCAGCCTTGCGGCAGAGGTGGTTCACTGGGTCTTACCTCGCCTTGATTCAGTCTATGCAGTTTCAGACCTCTTTAGAATTTACTTTATTTTATTTTCACTCCAAGTTTAAATACAACAAAATTTTCCAAATCATAACTTGTGTCTGAGCATGTCTTGTGTGTGACATGTACACTCAATATAATTCCAAAAATGAATCAAAATTCTATATCTTGAAAAACTGATGAAACATAAACAACATGACATTCCATCGTTTTCCAACAGCAATAGCCCATGCTTTCAGCAGACAGTCCTTAGTTAATATAAAAACTAGCAGATATTCAACATGGCAACTTGGTGGATGTTGAAGGTATTCCTGGGTTTTATTTCTGTAGCGTTCCATGAGCTTAATGGCAGTGCATTAACTACTGTCAGTAGTCAGTCCAGATTATCCTAAGATTTTTGTTTGGATTTGTAGCCAAAATAAACTTTTGAACGAGTGTCTCCTCCTTACAGGAAAACTATGAATGCATAAAATTGTAGAACAGAATTTGAACAAAGATGTTGACTGGTAAACTGTATAAAATACTTATGACAGTTTCTAAGGCTTAGTTATTCACACTCCTCTTCAATTCTACCTTGGGCCAAGTGTTGTGTATTTGAACGTTTTGAGACCGTCTCACTGTACATGCTTTTAAGCCAGAATTTGCTGCACTGCTGGTTCAGTGGGTTAAAATATTTAACATTGCAAAGCCCAAACTATTTTTTATTACTGTTTCTAGCATTACATTAAAAGATCAAGAATGTATCTGTTAAAATAAGAATAGCTTGTTGTAAAATGGTGTAAATGGAAGCTGCATCAAAGATATAAAATCTAAAAGAAAACTGACCGATGTTTTCACACAATTAGCAATGAGCACATTATTTTTAATAAGATAAAGCAGAGACAGGGTTATTGCATGTGCAATGTAGTAGTTGTAGGTGTTACTCAGACCATGAAAGGCTGTTGCTTGTTTTAGTGATGCCCTTAAAGACTGTAATGCCATGAAAATTTGTTAAAAAGCATGTGTCGTTCAACTGTACTTACCAGAAGGAAATTCAGTGCCATTATGAAAGCAATGGCAAATCTGTGGCTTAGTGGCTGGAGTAGAGAACGGCACTGTCACTGGATGTAACTCAGTTGTCGTAGCTGGAATTGTAGATGAGACAGTTTTAGGTAGGTAAATTGTTGACACTGATTTACTTAAAGTAGAATGTGGTGTGGTTGTAGGTGGCTGAGTTGTCGTCGTACCAGGTTTTGTGGTTGTAGCAGTTGTTGTAGGTGGCTGAGTTGTAGTTGTTGTAGTAGTAGTAGGTGTGGTGGTTGTAGCAGTTGTTGTTGT